ACTCTGCAATATGTGGCCGTGACAACCGGCCGCCTCCAGCTTGAACTCCTGCGCGGCATGGCCAACGTCATCCCCGGTGATCTGCGAGAGCTGCGTGACCAATTATTGACTCTCACAGGCAAGACTCTTGAATTTCTTCATGATGGCGCTCAATGTCATTTGCGTCGCCCCGTTCGTCTACACTATACATCTCCGGGTCGAAGGAGCTCCTGATGATCTCTGAGATCTGGCCCAGCTGATCGATGACCACATCGACGACGTCGTCTCCACCGCTGCGGCGGATGGCATTCTGCGCCAATGTCGATTCGACCTTCCGGTCGGCGAGGCTCTGGGCGTTGGTTTGCGCCGCGCGGCCCAGGTGCTCACGTGGCAAATGGCGGGCATTGTGCAGACATGCGCCAGTTGTCGAGGCTGTTCTTCATCGTCTCCCTGCTGTTCGAGGTCAACGCCTCTCGCTGGCCTTGCTGGAGGCCGATGACTGAGCGAGCCCTGGCGCTCCTCGTCGCCCAGCGCGATGAACGTGCCCGTGCGCATCAGGAAAGCTGCGTCGATGAATCAATATGACATAATCTTACAAGTCATCCAGCTTCAATCAGGCACCCTGCGGCTGCGACTGCTGGTCTGCGCTGAGCCACGAGACCGGCGGCGGCGGAGAAGTGCATCTGCCTCCTGCTGCTCCATGTCCTCCTCGCTCAGCTCCCCGCCCGCCCCCCCCGCCGCGCCCTGGCCGGATGGGAGGGAGGAGGATGGGGGAGGAGGGTGCTCGTGGCCGGTCGGCCCGCGGCTGCCTGAGCACCTGGCAGGCCTCGTCGGGCCGGGGGAAAGCCGGCAGGGCATTGCCCGTCGCCTGCGCCTGCGGGAAAGCCAGGCTGTCGTCGCGGCGGCGCGGTCGTTGTCGCGGCCGCCATGGTCGAGGGCGAGGGCGCGTTCGACGTCCTGGTGGTCGCCGAGGTCCGCGGCGACATTTGCGCAGGCTGGCATCCCGAGCGGCAGGGGGGGTGGCGCGGCAGCCATCGTGGCAGCTGCACGGCAGCGTCGGAGGCGTCGGGGCGCGGGAGTGTCGTGAAGCGGGCGGTTGAACCGGGATGCCATGGGCCAAAATGGCAACGGAGGGCGCCTGACCTAAACTGCGTGGCCCAGACGTTGCCGTGGCCGCGCGTCCACAGCAGAGCGCCGCGCAGGACTGAGGGGGAATGGTGCGGGGAACCAGCTCAGCGGCGAAAGCGTCGGGCCTGAATGGGCGATGCATCGCCAACATGCACGGCTTCCCCCGGGGCTGTAAGCGACCCGAAATACGGACTACATCGGAGAAAAGGATCCCACCCGCTCGCCACGTCGGGCGCCGTCATGGCGGAAACCGCCAATCTCGCGGGTGCGCCCGTGCCAAAAGCTCGCCGCGTGGACCGCGGGGGCAAGTCCCCCGAAGCCCCTCTGCGGCGGCCCAAATTGGCCAAGACGAGCCCCGCTCACGCGGGATTTGGCCAAGTCCCGCAGGGGCCCAGCCAACGCGCGCGCAAGCCCATGGACCCGCCACCGAAACCGAAACCGCAAGGCCAACAAAAAAGGCCCCGCCGAGAATTGGCCCACCGAGCCGTCAGCCCGAGGGGGACGCCGTGGGCCCCTTGCGCCTCGAGCCCAGCCATACCTTGAACTCGTCGAGATCGGCCCAGTCGAACCCTTCGAAGAGGCCGCCCTCCAGCGCGTCCAGCACGGCCCTGCACTTGGCGGCGCCCGCCTCCGAACCGTTGGCCGCCGTCGAGTCGGCCTCATCGTCATTATTGTCGTTGTTAATGTTCTTCTTCTTACCAACCAACTCAAAGTCTCCGAAGTAAAACTCCGAAGGGCCAACCGAAATATCAACATCAGCTTTGACGTTGGGCTCCAGCATGCACTCCCCGCCGCCTTTGCTGCCGCTATACACGCCGCCGTTATCCGTGGGGTTCGGCCCATCCATCATCGTTCACACAGGAGCTGCCTCCGTCACGGTGGTGTCCGTGTCCGTCTTGATGCACTTGTCCAGCGCTTGAGTTTCGGGAGCGCCCGCGTGCCCCAGGCCCCGTACTCCACCGGCATTGCCGTCACTGACGAAGCCTCCTCTAGCACCTTCGCCCAGCTCTTCCAGTAGGCGACCCGAGGAAGAGGAGAAGGTGAAGGAGGGGGAGGGGAAGGAGGAGATGGAGGAGGAGGAGGAGGAGGAGGAGGAGGAGGAGGAGGAGGAGGAGGAGGAGGAGGTGGAGGTTGGAGGGAGTAGGAGGACGAGGAGGAGTAGGAGGACGAGGAGGAGGAAGGGGAGATAGAGGAGGAGGAAGAGGAGGACGGGTCGCCTAAGCCCTTCGGAGAAACCTTCCACGCCAATAAATCGATCATGGGCCCCGATGTCAAAACCACATGTTCCCGCGCGCGGTGGGCACTCAGGACCCTGGCGGCGACGAGAAAGGCGATCGGGGGCCGATGCGTCCACCCCTGAGGCGATCTCCCCTGTCGCCCCTCGTTCCACGCGCTCCTCAGGGACCACCTCCCCTGAAAGTGCTCCCCGGCGCCCATTTCAGCCTCGGGGCGGCCAAGGTAAGGAGCCAGAAGAAACATGCGCACAAAAGAATTTCATACAAAGGGTTTTGGCACCACCAACGGCGCAACGCACGTGCACCCATGCCATTGGATCCCCGGCGATCTGAACCAGGGTTGATGCGCGGCCGTGCTCTAAGATGCAGTTGAAAGGTATGGTGTGGCAGCGCTGTCGGCGGCGACACGATTCCAAGCTCCGATGCCAGCAAACATTACATGGGGTTCGGCACCGCCAAATCACCATGCAACGTCCGTTTGTTCATTCGTTGACAGCGGCATGCGTCGCGGCAACAAAACGCATTTGCGCGCGCGGGCATGCAGGGCCGGCGATGTGGCCGGCCAGCTGGCAGCGCGATTTCGGCATAAGTTCCAAAATCCACGTCGGATCGTTTTGGACGCAGTATCTGGCGCAGCTGCATCCCGCTGCCAGGCGCAGCGGCATTGCGTTTGCAGCGCCAGGCCCCGCGTGCTCCTCGAGGCGGGAAAACAAGCTCTACACAAAAGAATCGCGCGTGCTCTTGTGGGGCGGGCGAAAACGATCGTACATAAAGGGAGCTCCTTTGTTCGCCCCCCCGCGTTAGCAATGTAATCAGATCGCACACAAAAGGAATTACAGGAGACTTCGTGGCACACAAAGGAAATATAACAACGCCCATTGGGTTGCGATTTTCGCGCGCGGTGACAGTTCCGAGCTGGAAAGGAAGGGGGGGCGGGACAAGGCAAAGGAGGGAGAGAGGAGAGGAAAGAGGATGGCGAGAAAGAAGCGAAGGAAGCAACGGAAGGAAGCCAGGATGCGGGCAAGCGAAGCTAACACTGCGTGCCGAGACAGCTGTTCGTTCGTTCGGTTGGCCGTGCGGCATATGAATATAATCAGAGCTGTTTGCTGCCCATCGAAGGGACTTCTTGGGAAGGAGACTCGCGCTCTCTTCCCAACCCCTTTTCCCACACCACGTTGCGAGCAGGCGACGAGATGTTCTGGCACGCGGGCAGAAGACTGCCAGTTGCTGGTGAGCGGCCTTTCCACCCGTCGCGCGTTCCAAACAAATGCGGTCAGCTAAACGCACTTGCCACGCAAACTGCCAGCTCTAAGCACCGACGCCAACCCGATCCCCGCATCCGTGCCAGGTGCCCTCTCAACGACGCCCCCTTCCGGTGTAAAACCAATAAAACCCGTCGTGGTTATGTGTTTTTTCTGGTTTTGGAAGGTAGCCTCCAAGAAACTTCCAAGACGGCCAACGGTTCAAGATGGCACAAAACGGCTCCAGAGGCTCTCAAGACAGCCTCAAGATGGCCCACGAGGCCCCCAAGACGAGGCCCTCAAGGAGAGCCCGAGGAGGCCCAAACCAGTGATTTCAATTAGGTGCTTGAAGGGTGTTGAGGTTCTCGCCTGTTTGGGTTTCCGACCGCCCAAGACGGCTCGAAGGGCCTCCAATATAGCCATAAGATAATACATGAAGCCCCCGAGAGGGCCCCGAGTCGGCCCAGGAGAACCCCAAGATCGCCCAAGAGACTCACAAGAGGGCCCACAGACGTCCCTACAGCGCTCAAGGAGGGCACGAAAACGGCCCAGAGAGGCCCCAAAGACGACCTCCGTCAGACGGACCAGGAGCCTCCCGAAGACGGCCCAAGAGGCCCCAAGAAACCCCTAAGAGGCCCCAGGAGGCCCCCACGAGGCCCCCCAAACAGGCCGCCCACGAGATTCCCAGGAGGCCCCCATGCGGCCCCAAGAGGGATTCAAGAGGCCTTACCCTCTTACTCTGCATGTTCTCCCTCTCCTGCTCATCCTGCTCCACTCACTTCCCCTCCTTTTCCTCCTCCTCCTCCTCCTGCTCCTCCTCCTGATTCTCCTTTTCCTCCTCCTCCTCCTCCTCCTCCTCCTCCCTACCGGGCGGACGAAGACGATGTCGAGTCAGGATCCTCCCCCATTCAAACCACTTGCTGAACTGCCGCGGGGTGTGAAGTCGACCTCCTTCCCGCTGCGCGGACGAAAACGAAGTCGAGCCCACGACCCGCCCTTCTCAGACAGACCGCTCGTCGGAATTGCGCTGCTCTTGCACTCAGCCTCCGTCCTGCTGCGCTGCTGCGCAAGCACGGCGGCGGGGTTTGCTGCAAGTAGCTGGATACTGCCACGGGTCGTGGGCGAAACACATGTCCGTATCCGCGTCCTCGCGGGCCAAGCACGTGGTCCGCGACCCCGCGGATACGGAGCGCTTCTTCGCGTATGCACCGCACGGAACGCATGCGTGCGACCGCGTATCCACGGGATCGCTCCCCGGAATCCAGACCGCGAGGGCGCGGACACGAATAGGTTCGCCGCTCGTACACGCGCGCGCAACTCCAGACGGGCGCCGTGCACGACCCACGGCTCGCAGGGAGCACTTGCCGCCCGCCGCCCGCCCGACGACAACGGCGGCGACCGCCCGACGCCGCTGGGCCTTGCTCGCGGCAAGCGCCCGCACGACCTCGGCCTCCGTCAAGCTGCGGCAGAACTGGGCCTGGACCTCTCCGGCGCCCGCCCGCCCGCCGCCAGGATGGGCCAACATCGAATTGGGGACTCGGGTCGGATCTCAGGCGGGAGGGGGGGGGGAGGAGGAAGAGGAGGAGGAGGAGGAGGAGGAGGAGGAGGAGGAGGAGGAGGAGGAGGAGGAGGAGGAGGAGGAAGAGGAGGAGGAGGAGGAGGAGGAGGAGGAGGAGGAGGAAGAGGTGGAGGAGACGGGGGAGGAGGGGGAGGAGAAGGAGGAGGAGCAGGAGGAAAAGGCTACTACCGGGAGGTCTTCGTCGGACGGATTAGGGATCATCCCCAATTGGGCGGCGATGACGCCAGGCCCCAAGGAACCTGAAAAAAACATACTGGATCGTTGGGAGGCAACTGCCGGGAGGTTTTCGCCGGAAGGATTCGGAAATTTCAGTCCCTTTGAAAGGTTACTACGCCAAATTGCGCCGCGGAGTGAGCGGGGTTCAGCAGGAACTAGCCTGATTCAGCCGTATTTCGGACCAGAACAAAGTCAGAATTTGACCTCCCAGGAGTTGCATCCGAATCGGAATGTGGTTCACATCGGGCCGCGTCGGCACGGAGGCGAAATCGAATCGGATCGGCCGCGCCAGGAAACACACGACAGCGCCATGCGTGCATCAGGCCGCATCGGGCCGCGTCGGAACATCGGGATCGAATCGGATCGGGCCGGCTAGAATGGGCATCGAATCGGATCGACCAGATCGCAATCGAGGGGTAGAACATCCAGCCCTATAAGAAAAGCCCCGAAAAAAAAAAAAAAAAAAAAAAAAAAAAAAAAAAAAAAAAAAAAAAAAAAAAAAAAAAAAAAAAAAAAAAAAAAAAAAAAAAAAAAAAAAAAAAAAAAAAAAAAAAAAAAAAACGTTTTGCAAACGCACCCGAAGAAGGAATCCAACAACGCAGGGCTGTTCAGCAGACGCCCAAGCAATAAACGCCAATTATCGGCAACTGGGCGGTTGTCCGGACCAGTCCGACCACAAAACCGACATCGAAACGCGCGGAAAAAAATAACATTCAAACGCGTTTTAAACAAGAACGAACAACACAACGGAGACACAACGACAAACAACACGAAAAGCATAATGAGGGCCAACACCTGACCAAAATCGTTGTGGCCGGTCCCTGGCTCTCTCTCCCTTGCCGAAAACGGACCCCGCCCGCGCCCACCGCCAAGGGCGGCCCTGGCGGCGAGTCCTTCCACCAAATATCCCGCCTCGCGCGAAGGGCCAGGGGCAGCGCTACGGGGGGGTGCCATCGGCTCAGGCTGGGGCCGGCCGTCCATGCGCGGTGCCTCCTCCTCCTCCTCCTCCCCCTGCTCCTCCTCCTCATCATTCTCATCGTCCTCCTCCTCCTCCTCCTCCTCCTCCTCCTCCTCCTCCTCCTCCTCTAACTCCTCCTCCGCCTCCGCCTCCTCTAACTCCTCCTCCTCTAACTCCTCCTCCGCCTCCTCATCCTCTAACTCCTCCTCCTCCCCCTCCCCCTCCCCCTCCCCCTCCTCCTCCTCCTCCTCCTCCTCCTCCTCCTCCTCCTCCTCCTCTGCTTCTGTTTCCCAGGGCGGAGGTGGTCGGTGACGCGCTTCAGCCAGCAAGAATCCGCCCCTCACTCAGGAGGTCGAACAATTGCCCATGCCGCGCGCCGTCGGTGACAGGCACGGGGCGGCATAGCAAGCAGCGGGCGCGCCGCTGCCACTCACGGCCATCTTTCACGCACGCAGGACGGGCAGAAGGTGTCGTCGCAACTGTCCTCGCAGATGTAGATGACGCCATCTACGGGAATTATGATGCCGCTGGCGGCGCAGGGCAGCGGGTCGTCGAACGGATGTGAATCCCTGTCCTGCACGTGCCCCTTCGAGCAGAGCCTGCGGAGCCCCACCTTCACCGACCCGTCCTGCGCGAGCTTCGCGGCCAGCTGCACGAAGGGCTGCCCGCACGCCGACGCCGCCCTCGTCCGTTTCAGGGCCGCGACGGGGAGGGCGACCCACTCCGAGTACTCGACCAGCTTCTGCTCGGAGTCCTGGCGCTCGAGGTCCATCTTCACGATGGACTCGGAGCTCTCCTTCTCGATGCCCTGGATGACCTCCGCGTCGGCCTGCGGTCCCTCGAGGCTGCCGCTGTCGTCGTCGGCGGGCTCGTCGGACTCCAGCTGCGGCTCGTCTGCATGGCGGTGCGCAAGCTTCCAGCCCGCCGCCAAGCCCTGTCCGAAGGCGCAGGCCTCGCTGATGGGGTCGCTCCGCAGCCAAGCACCTGGCGCCAGCTCCGGCGTCGCCTCCGCGAAGTACTGCACGGCGTGCTCGCTCTCAGGAGGGCACGGCACGCACTCGAACGGCACGTCCACGATGTCGCCTGTCTTCGCGAACTGGCATTCCAGTCTGGGGCCCGCGGCAGCCCAGGCCAAGTCCTCGGGGGACGCGTGCGCGAAGCCCCTTGCTGGCACGCGAGCCGCATGCCACGCAGCGTTCCGCCGGCGCCGGCGGCCGCCTGGAACTGGCCGGCCCTCGGCGAGAAGCATCAGCGCAGGTCTCGCCGCGATCTCGCGGTCGCGCCATGAGCCCGGCGCCGCCAGGCCGTCCGCGCGGAACTTGCGGAGGGCAGCCTCGCAGGCATGCTGGTGCAGTCGCGCGGCGCGCCTCGCTGCCGAAACTCCACGGGCCAGTATCTCCTGAGGCCGCAACTCACTGGGCTGCCATGCGGCTGGCAGCGCCCCCGCAGCCATACCAACCTTTTCCTCCAGGCCGACCTTCGACATCGCGGGGGCCGCGAAAGGGGACTGGGACTTGAGCCGTTCTCGAGCGCAGGAGCAGCAGGAGAGACAACCAGCAGCCAGCCCGCCTGACGCCCAAGGCAGGCTTGAGCCAAAATGGCTACGGAACCTCCTCCTCCTCCTCCTCCTCCTCCTCCTCCGTCGAATCCTCCTCCTCCTCCTCCTCCTCCTCCTCCTCCTCCTCCTCCTCCATCTCCTCCTCCCCTCGCGCCCCCGCGCCCCGCGCAAGGGCGCGGTGCGCCCTTTCTCTCTGCGCCCTGGCGGGCGCCCCACCGGGGAGAAGAGCAGGCCTCTCCGGCCCAGGCCGCGACGCGCGAGGCGCGAGCACCTTCGCGCCCCCGCGCTCGACGCGGTTGCAGCCGGACCCAGGCTTTGGTCGGGCGTCCCCCTACAGGCGGATTTTGGACGGAAAATTAAAAACGCCCAAGAGGAAGTAAAAACATACCCCCACATTCCCCTTAACAATTCATCTCCAGACTATTGTTGGACTGTTTTTGAATATACCCCCTGTAGAGGGACAGACCCGACTTCAACCGGTCAAAAGGGCATCCTTCAAGAACATGCGACCCTCTGTCGGCCAAAACAAATAGAGCATCCAAAGGTACTCTCCCCGGATGCGAACATCCAAGCACGAAGAGCGCCAGGGTACCCTCCCCGAACCTGCCTCGATCTTCTACCTCGGTCCGACTGTGCACTGGCTGCTTTCCACGTGCGCCCCAAAAAATGGCGGGCGATGACGAAGGCGACGACGTTAAGGACGTCGACCACCCTTCGACGACGACAACAGCGGTGCCTCCTTCGCCACGGCCTTCCGCAAATTCACGAAGAGTAAGGAGGGAGGACTGGAGGAGTGCGGACGGGAGGGAGAATGGTGGTTCAGGAGGGCTCAACATTCTGCACGAGGGGCCGTCCTTCGACAAGACCGCACGTGGCGGGCGGCCAAGATGCAGTCGACGACCTGAGCTCAAGCCATCGTCGCACTGCTGATGTCGTCTGTGCTTTGGGAGAATGAAGGTCGGGGGCGTGCAAACATGGATTGGCGATCCATGGATTTGGCGCGCGGTCGCCGAATCCATGGATGGGGAGAGGTGCCCTCCCCAAACTGCTGCCAGTGCCGCATGGCTCGGCGGCGGAAATACAGCATTTCCCATGGAAACGGGACCCGTCGCTAATCCACGCCCCTTTGATCCATGTGAGCTTAGGTCGGGCCGTCCCCCTACAGGGGGATTTGGGACGAAAAATTCAAAAACAAAAAAAAAACAAAAAAACTCAAAGAAAATACAAAAATGATCAACAATACTGGTAAAGTAGTCAAATACTATGTTTTACTATGCTTGAATGTTCCTCCTGTAGAGGGACACGCCCCTTGATACATGTTTGCGCTCGCCTGAGGAAAAGGGCGAGGAGGACCCGGAGGAGGATCTGATGTCGATGCCAGGGCGTGCCTGCTCGGACGGCCGCGGGGTGGCATAGGAACTCTCGGGCGGCTCGTGAAACCCCGTCCTAGCTCTCCAACTCGCCTGTCTCCACCCCCGCCCTACTCTCCATCCTCCTCCTTGCCATTCTCGTCCTCGTACCCCTTCCCCCTTTTCGCCCTCGTTCGCCTTCTCGTCCTCCTCGTCCCCTTTGCCCTCCTCGACCCCCGCGCCCTCCAGTTTCCTGCCCTCCCTAGCCTCGTCCTCCCCGTCCTCCACTCATTCGACCTCCTCCCGCCCTCCTCCCCACACCCGCCCCTTCCTCATCTGACCTCTCCCCCTCGTTCGCATCGCCACTCATGCTGCTCCTCCTCCTCCTCCTCCTCCTCCTCCTCCTCCTCCTCCTCCCTTCTCCTCCTCCTCCTCCGCCTCCTCCTCGTCCGAGCCGAGCCGCCGAGACTCGTGTGGCCTCGTGCTCCTGCCGTCCAAGGAGGGGGCAACCGGAGAGGGAGCAAGAGAAGGAGGAAGAGGAGGAGGAAGAAGACGACACGGAACAAGAACAAATCAAAGATGCAAGATCTATGTTCTGAGCGTGCGTCGCTCCTCGGGCCGTGAAAACTGTCTCCCAGGACCTCGGGGGGGACCTCCATGGAAAGGGGGGCGGGGCGGGAAAGGCCACGAGGAAGGAGTGCCACGGCGAGCACGAGGGCGACGCTGACGCCAGGCCCGGAGAAGCAGAAACAAAACACACATCCTCGGTCTGAGGGCGGTCACAGCGAGCGCGAGGGCGACGACGACGCCAGGCCCCCCAAACCAGAAAAACAGCAAGCATCCTCGGTCTTCGAGTAGAAGATCGACTACAGAATTGACTTACGCCAGGACCGATCGTCCGTCGAGCCAACAAAAGATACATAGAGTGCTCCATATATCTACAGAGCATTCCATGTTTGTCCTGTAGATTCGACGGGAAGACCAATTCTGGGGTTCATCAAGTCTGCAGTCGATCCCCCACAGTTGGAGCCCGACCACAAGAAACCTCTCACAAGAAACACAGCCCAGACATCCCAGGACGTCCATGGATTTTGGTGTGGGAACGCCACGCCTTCCACAGCAAAACCATCGAAACCGAAGAAACCCAGGGCACCCTCGAGGCAAGCAGGGTGTTTCTTGGCATGGGCCTCCACTGTATACTCGGGCCCTCCTTGGCTCGGTAAGGACATATCCAACTCTCCCGCCGACCCTGAGGGGTGCGCCGACGGATCCAACTTCACAATGTTTTTTTTCTCGTCGCGCTACGACAAGCGAGCAGGGTGTCTTGGCATGGGCCCCCACTGCACTCGAGGTCTGTGGGCGGGGACCCCGCAAAAAAACGGAGCAGGCTGCCCGCGCGACCCCGGCTCTCGGAGGCCAGCCGGTCCCCAGCTCCTCCTCCTCCTCCTCCTCCTCCTCCTCCTCCTCCTCATCCCCCTCATCCCCGTCCTCCTCCTCCTCCTCCTCCTCCTCTAACTCCTCCTCCTCCTCCTCCTCCCCCTCCTCCTCCTCTTCCTCCTCGTATTCCTTCTCTCCCTCCTCCTCCTCCCCCTCCTCCCCCTCCTCCTCCTCCTCCTCCTCCATCTCCTCCTCCTCCTCTTCTTCCTTCTCCTCCTCCTACTCCTACTCCTCCACAACCTCCTCCTCCTCCTCCTCCCCCTCCTCCTCCTCCTCTTCCTCCTCCCCCTCCTCCTCCTCCTCCTCCTCCTCCTCCTCCTCCTCATCTTCCTCCTCCTCCTCCTCCCACCCCTGCCAAAGCGCCTCCTCGTCGCAATGCGTCATCGCCTCGGGGGCCAGCCGGGGGAGGGAGGCAAACGAGGGGAAGGGAATTGGGCCTAGCTGCCCCGATACGCAACACGCACGCGCAGCGTGTCGACACGGAGCTCGGCACGCAGACGAAAAAAAGTCAGGTTTAGCGCGATAATGACGTTCGCCAAAACGTGGGCCAACCCGCAACGTATTGACACGGACATCTCGATCATGGCACGTGTTGCGTTTCCAAACGGGCGTAAGAATCGAGGCAACTGAGGAGCTGGGAGGGGCCGGAAGGGGGGGCGGGGGGAGGGGCGGGGCGGGTCGGGGGGGGGGGGGGAGAGGGGAGTGCAGGCCAGACGTGCTCGCGCCTAACCTGGCGTCCTCCCTCCCGCCATCCCTGCCACTGCCCGACCTGGGTCTCTGTCCAGGGACGCGCGTTATAGCGGACCTGTCACCTCCCCCACCCGAACAAAATATTGTCATGCAGAATCGGAAAGAAAACGGCTGCGTACATGCGAGGGGGGGAGGAGGAGGAGGAGGAGGAGGAGGAGGAGGAGGAGGAGGAGGAGGAGGAGGAGAAGCAGGAGGAGGAGGAGGAGGAGGAGAAGCAGGAGGAGGAGGAGGAGATGACGGTTGAACAGAAATATGAACAGGAAACGGAGACGCATGAGGAAGGAGGAGGACGAGGACGAACCGCAGCAGGATCTGGAGCGGAAGGAGCGGGAGGAGCAGGCGGGCCAATGGAAGGCGGATGAGGGTAAAGGGGGGGGCTGTGACGATCACGAAGGGACTCGGCCCGCGCTGGAGCGAGACCGCGAGCGATACAGCGGAGGCCAGTTCACAACAAACCTTCCACAAGAAACCCAGCCCTGAGACCCCAGGACGTCCATGGTTTTTCGGTGTGGGAACGTCACGCCTTCCACAGCAAAACCATCGACACCGAAGAAACCCAGGGCACCCTGGAGGCAAGCAGGGTGTTTCTTGGCATGGGCCTGCTCTGCACTCAAGCACAGCGTCGATCCTACATGAGACCAACGCTACAACGGGAACACCATTTCGGAGGGATGGAGAACGGTCGGCTTGGAAAAAACACACATTATATACATCATCTCGGATCCATCCTGCGCGCAAGAAACAATACGCTGAAGGGAACGCGCGACTCTCAGGCAGGGGGAACACGGAATGGCGCACGGGGAATGGGAAGAGAGGAATGGGGCAAGCTGGGTGCGCTCGCGCCATATCTGGCATCCCTGTCGCCCGTCCCGTTCCATTGCGCTGTTTGTATCTGCCCGCCGACGGGTGCCGTAGAACAGCAGCAGCTGTAGAAGGAGGAGCGAGACGCGCAGGAGGACTAGGGGAACGCGGGGGGGGGGGGAACGCGAGGGAGACAACCACGAGGAAGAACTGGGATCCAGGAGTGTGGACTGCGCTCGGGCGCCAGCGCCAAACTCAATGACGGGAGCAGAGCGCCGATCCTGAAGTGGGACCAACGCTGAAGCGGGAGCGCCACTAGCGTAGCCCCTGCAACTGCGGCTGGGAGTGAGGGGGCGGCGGTGTCGTCGGCAGTCTGCGAGGCTGGCCCTCAAGCTCACATGAAGCCTACCAATCCTATGAAGATTGCATGCACAACCTCATGGACGTGCGCTCTCGATGAAACATGTACACGCCGGCGAGGAAAGCAACCTGCTCGGGTCCCTGCGCGATCCCTGCAGACCTGGATACACCTCTATAAGGGTCCCTACAGCCCTACTCAGGATTCCCTACTTGGGATTCGTTACTAAGGGTTCTCGACGCAGGATTCCACACCAAGAATCTCACCAGCCGTCTGGGCGTCGGTGGTCTAGAGGGTTTCCTCTTCCAACCCCCTCCTTCCCCTTCGGGGAGGGGTTTACCACTCCCCCGACCCCCTCCCCTGGACCTGGACGGAGGGTTCCGCGGGTCGCTGGGGCGTCCCAAATGGCCCAAGATGGCTCCAAGAGCGAAAAGGCGAGAAAACAAAAAAACAGTGTTCCCCCCAGGCTTTGGAAGGATTGTGGCTTCTTTTGGAGCCCAAGAGGCGATTCAAGGGACTCTAGAGGGGCAAGGCTAATTGACGACCCCCCCTTCTTTGATAGATCTCCTCCAGCATGGCCCCAAGAGCGCCCCGAAGGCCTCCAAGAGCGCCCCAAAAAGGCCCCAAAAGGCCCCAAGAGGCGCCCAAGAGGCCTCCACGAGGCCCCAAAGAGACTCCCAAGAGGCCCCCCGAAATACGCAAGAGGCCCCCAGGACCGCCAAGAGGCCCCAAAGACGGCCCAAGAAGCCCCCAAGCTCGCCATTGTTTTGCTCCTCTTCATTTTCTTCCACCTCCCTCCTCCCCCACCCTCTCCTCCTCCTCCGCCTCCTCGTCCTCCTTCTCCTCCTCCTCCTCCTCCTTCTCCTCCCTCTCGTCCTCCACGTTCTCGCCCTCCTCCATCTCTTCTTCCTCATATTTCGCCTCCTCCTGCTCCTCCTGCTCCTGGTCCTTCTCCTCCTCTTCCTCCTCCTCTTCCTCCTCCTACTCCGACGACGATTCCTCCTACATCCTCTCCCTCTTGGGGTATATGGCGGCTTCCACGCCTTGTGCTCTTCTGCATGCTCCCCCGCTTCCCCCATCACCTCCACTCCCCTGGGACCCATTTTTGGACGGGCTGGTGGAGATACTTATTTTTGATCAGCGGCTCCGAGAAACGGTCAGGGAGCGGAAGCGACGTCCGGGCCACGGGCGGGGCTAATTTGCAAGACTATTCGCCGCCAGCCAGAGTCGGCGGACAGACAGCTCGCACCTGCACATGCACTGAACAAAATGACCAGAATTCGAAAAGGCAAACGCACTGAGGCGCAGCAGTCCTAACCACAGTGGGCAGGCCGCCGTGCCCGGTGAAAAGGAGAATGCCCCGAAGTGAGTCGCCAATGCGGCGCCAGACTTCCGCGGCCGACCTGCACAAGCCGAACGGCTGAGCGGTCGGGACCAGAAAACAGTGCGCGACAGCAGGGAGGACCAAAGGCTGCACAGGCGTTGTAGGCTGAACCACTCAGCGCCCAGTCCTCAGCGATCCGCATCACAATGCCAGGGGGAGGGCCAAGCGACTGTGACCCAAAGCGCGACTGCACGGCGCCGCCTCATGAAACGAGGAACTCACTGGTGAGGATACGCGAGGCGTTTAGAATATCCCCATCTGGATTCCCCACCAAGGATGCCCTGCTAAGAACTCCCTACTAAGGATTACCACTCAAGATGCCCGACTAAGGATTCCCGGTTAAGGATTCCCTAACGATCCCCGACAACTGAACCCCTACTCAGGAATCCTTAATCAAGAATCCTTGGCACAGATTCCTTAATCCATATTCCTTGCTACGGATTGCTCTGCTGCGGTTTCATGATTCATTACGGAAAACTCCGTAGCAACGATTCCTCACGAAGGATCCCTTACGGAAGATATATTACTTACGGGCTTGATACGTACTCATGATTCACTACTGAGGGCCTTTGGTAAGAACTACTTCGTGAGGATTCGTTGCGTACTAAGGATGGCTTACCAAGGACCACCCCCATTAAGGATTCCTCACTATAGACTCCGGACTAATAGGGGTCCAGGATCAAGAACTCCTTACCAAGGACCCTCACTGAGCACGCCTTACTGTGGACCCTTACTGAGGCGCCCTTTACGAAGGATTCCTTAGTGAGGATTTCTTGCGTAGTACGTATAATTCAAAGTCCAACACTAAGGATTCTTCAATAGAAGGTCCGTTCGTAAGGATTTGCTACGCACTCGGGACTCACCTTTTTAATACGGATTCCTTCGCAAGTATTCGTTACGTACTAACGGGGTCCTTGACAAGAACTCATCAGTAAGGGTTCATCCGTCTGGAATCCTCACGAAGGACTCCGTATTAACGATCCCGTGTCCAGAAGTCCTTACTCAGGATCCCTTACTGAAGACGCCTTGCCCGGGCGTCCCTACGAAGGATTCCTGCCAAAGATGGCCCACTAAGGATTTCCGACAACTTGCCCCTGGCAAAATGATTCCTCACATAAGAAGCTTTAAGAAATAATATTTGCTGAAGATTCATCAACAAGGTGCTTCACTGAAGATTCCTCACCAACGGCTCCTGACTAAGGTATCCTTACGAAGGACACCTTACCAAGGAACCCATATCACGAACTCCTCATTAAGGATCTCTCACTGAAGACGCCATACTAAGGATCCCGCATTACAGACCACTTTACTGAGTTTGCCCTACTCAAGAACAACGAAACAACGATTGTGTCGGAGTGGCGGAGAGGTGGAAGTGGTGGAAGGGTGGGAGTGGTAATTAGAGAAGTGGGAGTGGTGGGAGTGGTGGGGGAAAGGTGGGGTGGGAGGAGGGGGACGGGTGGGAGGATGAGGATGAGGATGGCCGATCATCATCATCATCGTCATCATCATCATCATCACCACTCATCAATATCCGCGCCCACATCCGCATCATCATCACCACCTTCATCATCATCATCATCATCATCATCATCATCATCATCATCATCAGCAGCATCATCATCATCATCATCGTCAACATCTTCATCATCGTCCGTGTAACCATAAGCATCATCATGATCATCAACATCATCATCAGTATCGCCATCATCATCGCGACCATTCCCATCATCCTCGACGTGACAGCGCCAGGAAACCTCGATCAGGACTCCCCTGGGGATCCCTGAGGAATCCAAGCGGCATCCCCAAGAATGCCCTAGGACTCCTCAGGAATCCCTCAGCAATCCATACGATTCTCTAAACACTCCCTAAGGAAATTCCTCGGGAATCCACGCGGAGTCCGCAGAAAGCTCCTCAGGAATCCTCAGGAACCCTATGGGAATCCATGCGGAATTCCCTCAAGCATCCCTTCGGAGTCCTCAAGAATCCCTCAGGAATCCGGGGAAATCCTTCCAGACCCCAAACAGGCTCCTGAGGAATCCCTCGGGAATCCTTGAATCCGTCAAGAGTCCTCACGAATCCATAAGGAAGATTGTCTCCGGAATCCCACCAGCCCTCTGGGCGTCGGTGGTTTAGGGCGTTTCCTCTTCCACCCCTCCTTCAACTTCGGGGAGGGGTTTACCCCTCCCCCTATCCCCTCCCCGTGGACCTGGAGGGGAGGAGCCGCGAGGTGTTAGAGCGTCCAAAACGGCCTCCGCGAGGGTTTTGGCCCATTTTAGCCTCCTGGGGGGGGACGCTAATTACTGCTCCGCGCATGATAGATCTCCTCCAAGATGGCCCCAAGAAGCGCCCAGGAGGCCCCGGCCCCCAAGATATCCCCAAGAGGCCCCAAGAGACCCCACAGAGGCACCCAAGATGATGCTCCAAGAGGCCTCGGCGAGAATGCCAAAACGGCCCCGGCGAGGAAGCCCAAATCATTGGTTTTAATAAGGTGTTGGCCCCATTTTGGCATCCTGGGGGGGGGGGGGCGCTAATTAATGCTCCCCTCTTGTTTGATCGATCTCCTTCAAAGATGGCCCCAAGAAGCGCCAAGGAGGTCCCAAGAGGTCCCAGGATGGCCCCAATCTGGCCCCAAGAGGCCCCCAAGAGGCCCCCAGGAGGCCCCCAAGATACCCCCAAGAGGCCCCAAGAGACCCCACAGAGGCACCCAAGATGATGCTCCAAGAGGCCTCGGCGAGAATGCCAAAACGGCCCCGGCGAGGAAGCCCAAATCATTGGTTTTAATAAGGTGTTGGCCCCATTTTGGCCTCCTGGGGGGGGGGGGGCGCTAATTAATGCTCCCCTCTTGTTTGATCGATCTCCTTCAAAGATGGCCCCAAGAAGCGCCAAGGAGGTCCCAAGAGGTCCCAGGATGGCCCCAATCTGGCCCCAAGAGGCCCCCAAGAGGCCCCCAGGAGGCCCCCAAGATACCCCCAAGAGGCCCCAAGAGACCCCACAGAGGCACCCAAGATGATGCTCCAAGAGGCCTCGGCGAGAATGCCAAAACGGCCCCGGCGAGGAAGCCCAAATCATTGGTTTCAACAAGGTGTTGGCCCCATTTTGGCCTCCTGGGGGGGGGGGGCGCTAATTAATGCTCCCCTCTTGTTTGATCAATCTCCTCCAACATGGCCCCAAGAAGCGCCAAGAAGGTCCCAAGAGGTCCAGGATGACCCCAAACTGGCCCCAAGAGGCCCCCAAGAGGCCCCCAGGAGGCCCCAAAGAGACCCCCAAGAGGCCCCAAGAGACCCCCCAGAGGCACACAAGATGCTCCAAGAGGCCTCGGCGAGAATGCCAAATCATTGATTTCACGCAGGTTTTAGCCACATGTTGGCCTCTTGGGGGGGAGCACTGATTAAGATGACTCCAAGAGCGCCTGGGAGAGCCCAAGATGGCCTCCAAGATGGCTCAAGATATCCTAAGATGTCTCATAATGGCTCCCTCTGTGTGCTGCCCACTTCCCTGATCCAGGCAATTCCTCTGGACATCGTTTCTGGATGGGCTGGTGGGGATTCGCGAAGCGTCAACAATTCCTGGAAAATCCCGTAGGAATCCTTCAAGAATCCTTTAACAATCCCTCCGGAATACCCAGGGAATACACAAGACTCTTTCGGGATCTTTCAGAAATCCCTCTGAAGGAATCCCCCAGGAACCCTTCAGGAATTCCTCCCTGAATCTTCTGGGATCCTTCAGGAATCCCTCTGGAGTCCTTTTTTCGAGATCCCTGAAGGATTTTTCAAGAATCCTCAGGGATCCTTCAGAACCCCCTGAAGGATCCTAGATGATCACGTCGAAATTCATAAAAGAATGCCTCCGAGGAAACCTCAGGAATATATCGGAAATCCCTGTGGACTCCCTCGCGACTCCTGAGGGATCCTTCAGGAAACCATTTTTAGGAATCCCTCGGGGATCCCTCAGGAATCCATCAAGAATCCCTGAAGAATCTTCATGACACTTTCAAGAATCCTCCAGGACTCCCTCAAGAATCCCCCCAGAATCCTCCAGGAGTTCCTCAAGAATCCTTCAGAAATCTGTAACAAACCCTTGGGGATCCATAAAGGATTCCTTCAGGAATTCCTCCGGAATCCTTCAGGAATGCCTACGGAATCCTAAGGAATCCGTAAGGAATTCCCTCGAGCATCCCGTTGGAATCTTCAGACATCCTTCTGGAATCCCTCAGGAAACCCTCGGGGATCCCGCAGGCCTCCTTCAAGCATCCCTTGGGAACCCCTCAGGAATTCCTCCGGCATCCTTCAGGAACACCAATAACCAGAAAACCCAGCAATCCCCTCGGAAAGCCTTCGCTCACCCCTGGGGAGTTGCTGGGGTTGCTGGCGGTTCTTACGGGGAAGCGGGTGTTTAGGTGCAGTGTCCACCAACAAGGACGACAATCAGGGCAAGACTGCTCTCTCTTACCTGCTCGCGTGCCATTCGACACGTAAACGGACCCGGGGAAGGGGTCGAGAGGTCAAGGTGGCCACGCATCAAACAACTCGGGGCGCAGCACGTCCGGATTCTTTGCAACATCAGCCCGCTCCTCTCGGGGTCCTCCCCCCGCACTTGCGGCTTCTGCTATCCCTCGACTCGCGCTGGAGTTCCCAACATTCACTATTTCATACAGACACATCTGGATTACTCTGGACTTACCTCAACCGATCTGGATTTACACCGACTTACCTCGATCTCTCTCGTTCGACTCCCGCTGATGGTTTGGAGAAGAGCCGTCAACCACTTGGGGGACCGCTTCCCTCGTCATCTTCTCCCTGGGGGAAGAAAGGGGCGTGGCAGAAACGGGGGCAATGTGGGCGCTGGACTTGCCATCGCTCGGACGTCCATTCCCCGTGCATGTTTCGTTTTGTGCGTGCATGTTTTCGTCGATGATACAGGATGTTCCTCGATGGCCATCATCCGGAAACATGCACACGTCCGAGCGATGCGGCCTCGGGCGCCGCGGCCTTCTCCCTGCGGGGGGCGGGGCCCAGGCGGGGGCAATGTGGTCAGGTAGGCGCAACGGTGACCCTGGGGGGCGCAGCGTGGCCAAATCCTTGCGCGCAAGCAGCAGCGAAAGCAACGCCCCAAGCATTCGGGCATTCGGGGGGACCCCGATGAGCCCGCACCGAAGGTCACCCCCGCGAGTGACTACTCTAACGCGTAGTCGATGTGGGCGCTAAATGGGCGCCGGCGGGCGCCTTCTCTACCACGTAGCTCGCAGACTTGTGGGTGGCCAGCCTGGCCCAAGCACGTCCCGCGCGCCCCCCCGCGCGGCGGGGGGGGTCCAGCCTCCTCCGCCCACTCCTCGGCCTGGCTCATGTTTTCTGGAAGGCTGTAGGGTTTGTCGAACGCAGCCTAAGACGAAGCCGGGACGAGGATAAAATCGCGTGATGAATCGAGCGTGGCTCTGGATGATGTATCGGGCGACGCGGCCTTTTCAGAGCGTCCAGGAGCGTTATGAGAGCGTTACAGAATTCATTGGAACGGATCAACCCTCGTCTCAGCCCCGTCCGAAGAGACGCAGCCGCGGCGACGAGAAGCCTCGGAAACGCCCAGAAATGGCCAAAGATCCCCCGAAACCCTGATCCTCGAGAGTCTTCACCGCAATCCGCCGTCACACTGGTTTCACAACGTTGACCCGCGGAACTCTGGACCCTTTCCCGGGACAGGCATTTCATCCTGAATTGTTGCGACCACGCCCAAGCCCCGCCCGACAGCCCTCCCCCCCCCCCAGGGCCAGTCGGCCCTGGGGGGGTGATGAAACTAAAGCCAGGTGGCCCCAGGAGCACCGCTCCAAATCCTCGACCTCATCCTTCTCCTCCTCCTCCTGATCCTTTTCCCGTTGTTCCTCCTCCTCCTCCTCCTCCTCCTCCTCTTCCTCCTCCTCCTCCTCCGAAGTGTCCAGGTTCCCAGAGTGCAAACCTAATGTGCCCCCCCAAAAAAAAACAATAAAGAAATAGAGAGCACCCTCCCACCTCCCTTGCTACTCCTCGCGGGCCCGCCCCACCTCCCTGGCCTCCTTGGCCTGCTGCTGGAGGGCCACCGCGAGGTCGCCCAGCGGTGACCTGTGGATGGGCTCCGCAGGGCCAAGGCGGAACCTGGTGGCGGGCAACTTGCCCTAACGAAGAACACGCAGCTCCTTCGAGCGGGGGTTGGGTGTGCATCTCTTAGATAGCGTCAGTGCTTTCATTGTGGCGAAGGAGCCACAGGCCATGCAAAATAAAACTGGGGTCCGTGAGCGACCGACCAGGCGACATGGAGCTTGTGCCCATGGAATCCTTCGGCCCCTAGGACAGCAAACAGGCTATCATTGAGCCTCCCATTACACGGAAACTTAGTTTGGGCACTGACTCGTCTCATAGAGTGCTCACGACGATAATGGCTCCCACACAAATGGGTCCTTCGGACCTCTCACCTCCCTGGGGCCCACACTCCCCTCATTGACTTGCCCGAAGATCTAAATAAGCTAAAACGGAGGCCATCGCAGAACACATCTTGTCATAATGCTTCACCGCGTGAGTTATTTTCAGCAACCTGCACGGGGGAGATGTCGCGCAACTGGGCTCCCTGGGACGCAAGCCAATCAGCGGCCATGTTACCTCGGATGGCTACCATGTCTTCGGGGCCCTCAGTTTGCCCCCTTCTCCACGGGCCTCAGTCTTATGGAAGTTGAGCCGGCCGACCGAGATATCAGCCTCGATATTCCTGAAGAAATGGGGCCCAAGAGCTTGGTAGTCTAATGGTCACCGAACTGGGCAATCCACCTTCTGCGCGGACGGCCCCCACCATCAATGCCGCCCGCTCCCCGGCAAAAGACGTTTGGCCAAACAACTTAAGAACAAGCCCAAACATACCCTTGTGCCAATCTCCTTGGCCGTCGATCTGACGCGCGCCCCATCCCGCTCGGGCCATGCCGCCCGAATGTAATTTCGCACCAGGGGTGAACTCAAATCGATCACGCAGACCACTCGCATCACGGCCGGATCTGGGAGATCAAACTTAGGCAACCAGGCACTAGTGAACAGGTTGCTTGTGGGGCCCGCCGCGAGAACAACTGGATTATTTCGGGCGCGTAGACTTCCTCTCGGACTTCGGCCGCAAAGGGGCGTTCCCAGCAACGATGGAAGGTCGCGCCCCCCTCCCCACAGAAACTGCAGCCTGGCGCCACCGGGCAGCCCCATCTACAAAGGTTATCGGCCGACGGGGCAGCTCCTCCCATTGCTTGTTCCAGGACAGAGACTGACCTCGGGGGTAGCTTATGCGCCGATCGAAGAAAACTCGCCATGAGGTCCTACCAGAGCCCTCGCTCTTGGAAGGCTCGGACCTCACGGCAGGGGTGGCGGGCAACGACTGCGGCAGCATCAGCCTGGATTCGGTCATCTCACCTGTGTTACATAGCGTTTGGCCACATGCGCTGGCGAGGTGCCATCGAGCTCAATTTCGACCCCGAGTCGGTCAACGAAGATGCATGGGCTCTTGAAATCCCAACCACCTTCCTTGACCCGCGCAACTGTATCAGATGTAAGCCCCGTGCTCCACTTAAATCATTGCCGATTGGACGGTGGGGCCCGGGGCCCAGCAGCCACAACAGCACGAAACAATTTGGTTAAACACTCTGGCGTGAGGACGTCCGACTGCTTTCGCTGCAGGTCGTTTCTCGGGATCGCGGCTTGCCGCCATTCGGCCGCATACCTACGGGCAGTCACGCCTGGCACTTCCAGTGGGTCCTTGGAACGCAACAAACCCCAAGCTATATCAGCCCCGACCCCCCGAATCGAGACTCCACTGGCCGCGGCGGCTGACTGGCGCAAGCGTTGCACCTGGCACGGGCAGAACGCAGTCATGTCACCTCCATGCGTGACTGATTGGATCATGCTCGCGGCTATAAGTCGCGACTGATGGCCTGTTTTGGCGGCGGGGAATTTCTTCGAACGGGGCGGTATTTTCATGGTCCTCCGCCAGCGGGGAATTTCTTCAAACGGGGCGGTATTTTCATGGTCTCCCGCCAGCGCATAGCTCTAGTCCCCGCGCTTCCCCGCGCGAAAGTCAACCCCCAAGTTAGCGAGCGAGTGCCCCCCGTGGCCCCGGAGGGTCTTCCCTCCCACTTCCAGCGCCTTTTTTTTGAGAAGGCAAACGGGCAGATCATGCGCTCGGCTAGCGGCAAGCCCAAGCCAACTACTATGCGATGGCCGATCTCATTCAGTCGCCGGGCAAGGGGCGCAGCCACTGACAGTAAATCCACCGGCCGCACACGGTGAGTTAGAGCATCTATTTGGAGAGAAACGAGAGCACCAGGAGGGATCAGGCCATAATAGGATTCAACGGTTGGTTTCCACGCAAACTTGGCGTCAAACGTGGCTGGCGTGGATCCTCCAACTGTTCCCCTTCGAGGGCGCATTCCTGGCATGAGGGCCCAGTCGTGCGACAGGAAGCGCGGCCACTTATAACTGTTCATGCTTGCGCAGAGGCTCATCCTACTCGCGAGCGAGGTGCGCTCGAGCGCGGCCTCAGGAGGGCCTTCCCCGACAGCATCCACAGGTGCAGACCCGCCCCTAAGGAAACAGTGGGCTCGCCGCGCACCCTTCCCCAATGCATCAGCGCGCCACTCCTTCCACTCCCGATGCCGTATCTGGGGTGCTGATCAAAGGAGACGGTTGCGCACCACCTGGGCAAAATTTATAACCTCGTTCAGGGCCACTTGCGCGAACTCATTCGGATTTTGGACGCGGGTTCGCGCGGGGAAAGAATGGGATGCCACGCGCTGCTCCCCCGCGCCCAAAAATGGCGAAAAAGGGCCCCCTCGGACCAAGCGCCAAATCAACCGAACGGACATATTCGCGAGGTCAGCATGGCTCCCAACTTTGAAACCTCGCAAAACAAGGGCCCTCACTTAGGTCACTTGGTGTATCGCCCAGGCTCTCTTGGGATCAACTCTGTTGTATGTTTTCGTTCTCAAGACTTCCCTCAGCGGGGCTTGCTCCCGCTGGAAGTCCGCGCCACCTGGCAGGCCTGGCCCAAGCTGGCCCGTCGTCTCCTGCTGCTCTGCCCATGCCGCGTCTATCCGCTGGTCGTCGGCTCCGCTCAAGATCTGGGCGGTATCTTCACGAGTCCGGCCATGCGCCGTGAACTTGGCGCAGGTACCGCCGAACGGATTGAGGAAGTTATCGGGCGCGACCTCTAACGAATCATAGTGCGGCGGCTGTCGAACAAGTCCGATTACTCGCGCAGGTGCAACATTGGCAATTCATCAACATCAACTTGTTGATCCGTTACACCGCCCAAGCGGTGTCGAACAGGGCGATGTGGGGCCACTGGTATGCTGGCCATAACTTCTACCGTAGTCACAGAATCCCGCAACTTGTCAATCGTGAAACAGTCAATGGTGGACGAATGGTCGTCCACGATGAAGCAGCGCAGGAATCAGCTCTGGTAGTGCCTCTGAGCCCATGCAACGGGATGGCCACGTCCAGCTTACCAGGCGAGTTGTAAATATCACCGCCAAACACATATGGGAACTGAGTCTGTAGAATTTCCCGCCCTGCACGTTCGATGGGCCTCGCATTGATCGGCGCGAAAACCTTCTCCAGCCTGCAGGTGGCAAGTCATTAGCATAAGATGGCCCAGATCTTTCAAGCGTGAGAAGCAGCGCGCCAATCTCCCACTTGACAGATTCCCTCCATGCGCTGCCCATGAATCCAGATGGTGCTTGACTGGGGCCAGGACACCAGCAGAAGCAGGGTCTTCAACAATTGCTGCGCACGGGCCTCCATGCGTTCTCCAACCAGCCAAACGAACGGATCAAACAATGCTCACATCGAGACTTCTTCTGCCTGTGCTCCTGGGCCAAAATGAGATCAGCATGGCCGTGGGGATCCAGGGTTGTCTCAACCGCGATCCAACTCGAGCCATTAATCGTTTTCACACTTAGCCCCTGCTTCTTCTGCGAACTCTGACTCGCGGAAGACTCCGGCGCGCCCGTCAGGATGAAAGGTGCTCTGGTACTCTGGGTAGAAGGCGGCGTCGTGCGCGAAGGTGGCCTCGCCCTGGGCTGCCCCGGGCCAGCTGAGGCAATGGGGAACTCACCCCTCCCTCCAGCGATTCGGCGCAGCGGGGCCCCAACCTGGCCCTCGCAAGCCCTGGGGGGGGGGCTCGAGCAAGCCAGTGGTTGGCGCCGTCCGCTGGGCCGCCTGCACTACCCCAGGGCCGAGGTAGGAATGAGCAGTTGATAAGGTAATTGG